ATCTTCCCTCCCCTTCCCACCCACCTACGCTTCAGCGCTCGTCATCGCTTTGACTCGAAACCAGATTAGGCTCCTCACTCACACCATAGCTCGACACATAGTCGACTTAGCTCCCTGAACCCGCTAGCCAGAAATTGTGGTTGATAGAAATCTCGAGTAGAACGTTTGGCGTAAATTACTAGTCATGCTACTGGTAGAAGACGATTTCTTAAGAACATGATCGTCACCTTCGAACTTGACGATTTCAACATAGAAACCTCATAATAAGTGAAAGGGGCGTCATTCTAAGGGTCCACTCTCAATCCGCGCTAAGTCAACCTGGGGTCGTCGGCTGATTTTTTTTCATTTTCGGATCTTTTTTTTCAGACCTGCCCAGCCGAGTTTACGTAAATTTAAGCGTACGGAAACGTAAACGTAGATATACGCATAAGTTTGCGTTTACGCGACCTAAATCAGCGTAAAGTGCCAACAAAAGCGCCTACAGGTAATTAAGGCGTTTTAGGCAGTTTCCTTCACTCTCAAATGCGCACCACGTTTAGCCACACCTCCCTGAACGCCCTAATCCACCATCATGCATGATGTGCCTTTAACGAAGGCTGCTAAAAGGCGAACCCTAAACACCAAGGTGTTCGCCTGAAAAGGTGAACACCCAAACACCTCCTTCTCTGGAAGTGTTCTGGCAAACACAAACATGTTCGGTTCGCCGAACATGAGAGTTCGAGGCAAGGCGAACACGAACATTGTCGTGTCGAGCTTTATCTCAAGCCTACTTGACTTCAGCAGGCCGGTGCTATGAACGGGTTGACCCTGATTCGGATAAAACTGGTCTGAACTCGGGATTCAACTTCTGCTCATGCCTACTCACAGGTGAATCAGGTTTGTGAGCTGCCCAAAGGAGTCACGAATTGTGTCAGTAAATTCGTTGTAACTGAGGTCCCTGGTTAGAGGATAATTGGTTGGAGGGTGGGTACAGAAAGGAAGGCCTTTTTTTTTTAGGATTAAGATGCTGCTCGTTTAAACAACAAGACCATGCAGTGAGCAACAAAACCGTGCCATGTACAAGAAGAGCATGCGGTGAGCGACAGGGCGCTTCTTTTCAGAATGTAGATAGTTGGAATCCCTTCATGTCTAGATCAGTGTCTTGCTTTTGCCATGATAGCATGAACACTGAATCTTGAAACAGGAACCTCCACTAGGCATGAGCAAAGCGCCCGATCGGGTCGGGCCGGCCCTATCCGATCCGGGATTTTGCCGGGTCGGGTCAGGACTTTCAATGACCTCACCCGTTCAGGTCGAGTCAGGCCGGTCCGGGCAAAACCCCAACCCGACTGTCAAAACCGGGTCGGGTCGGTTCGGGTTTCGGGCCGTTGTTGACCCGACCCCGAATCGGGAAAAAAACAGTGTAACCGGGTCATTCACCCGACCCAAATTCGACTCCAGGGGTAACTAGGGATGAGCAAAGGGCGAACACGAACATGTTCGTGTTCGCCCCTTCTCGAACACCCTCTTTTGCCGAACCGAACAATGTTCGCTTCGGCGAACAGTTTAGGCAAAAACAGGTGTTCGCTGTTCGCCGGTGGAGGCGTGTTCGGGCGAACCTCGAACACGTTCGTGTTCGCCACGGGGCGTTCTGCAGCCACGCCACGAACACGAACGTGTTCGGGCGAACATCGAACAGTGTTCGGCGAACAATTTAAGCTGAAAAACAAAACCTGTTCGGTTCGCCTCGAACGTGTTCGAGGCGAACCGAACAGGTGTTCGCCACCTTGCTCATCCCTAGGGGTAACCCTGAAGACTGAAGTCAATGTCGAGGGGACATTTTCCCCTTGACAATCTTCCCGCCCGCAACCTTAGTTCTTACCTTATGCTTAGAAATCTTAGAAAGTTAGTAAGCACCCAATTATCCCCCTTAGCTCACTAAATAACAATCTCTTACATCTGGCTCTTCACCAGAATCCAAGTATGCGATTAGGGTTGGGAACTACATTTGTTACTACATTTTGATATGCTAGGGTTGGGCTGAGCTCAATGTCGTGAGCTGAGCTCAATTTGTATTTGGGGGTTGGGTCTTGTAGATCCAGTGCAATGACGAGTGGTAAGTACCGGCGAATTGTTGGGATTTTTTGGGCCAACAAATTTGACGGGGAGGAAGGAATGCCTGGATTTCCTCAAAGTTATTCGCGAACACAGGTCTACCAACGAAATCGCGGATCTGTGCAGATACCCAAGCGAAATCGCCAATCTGCGCAGATCGGCGGGCGAAATCATTGATCTGCACAGAGCGCGGGCAAAATCGGGTTTCATGTACCCGACCCGACCTCGGGTCGGCCCGATCCGATTTCGGGTCAAGTAAAACCCGGCCCTGTACACCCGGGTCGGATCAGGGTCTCCTAGCATCCTGGCCCGGGACTGACCCGACCCGACCCGGCCCGGAAACCTGATTGGCCTGGCCAAGTCGGATAGGGTCGGGTCGGGTCGGGTCGTTTGCTCATGCCTAGTTTACACGAGCTACGAGTGGAAGTGGAGTCGAAATTTATGTGCCTCAAGTTCTGCAACATGAGCACTAGTGCCATCCCCCCTGAATGCTAACGAATCGAGTTTGAGTTTTGTTCAAGGTTTAAGCAAGCATACGCTCATCAAACACGTTGTTTAAAAGGAGAAATAAGTCCGCTCATCACTAGCAAATAAAACGTGGATTCGTGCTTCTAACTCGAAAAGTGCTTTTCAAGATCAACGTTTCTATTAAAATCAAGTAGCATCACAAAAATGTGTGCGTCTGGAAAACATTTGACCATTTTTTTTTTCAGCAAGTGTTCAAAGAACGTTTGACAATCATCCGGGAATCATCTATATACCATTTGTATAGCATTTTTGTCAAACCAAATGATTTGCTGATGTTTTAGTAATGGTTTATCAATGTTTCAATGGTTGGTTTGTCAAATGTTTATTGTTGAAACAATAATAAGGTTGCATATATGTGTGTTTCACAAGATTTCAGAAATGGTAAAAAAAATGCTCGACGAAAGGACACAAGCCTAATTTCAGAAACGGGCCGCCACCGGGATTTGAACCCGGGTGTTTCATACGAGAGCCGAATATCGTAGTTGACTGGACCACAACAGCTGCTTTGTGGTTTTGAAAAGATATTAAATACATGCTGCCTAATCCAATCCAGCTCAGAAATCGATCCAACCAATCCGGGCTGCCTGATCCAATCCAGCTCAGAATACCACATCGCCCAACCAATCCGAGCCGCTCATTTAATCCACCTCGACAATTTCCAGCTCAACCACCTTATCGGCCCAAGAGTCCCATAGCTCCCACAACCACTCAGCACTCCACCCATCACGCCAGCACAAGAGTGGAACTGGCTTCCCGTAATGTTATTATTCCTAAGCAGCTGTGACTTGGTTAATTTTGCTAGCAGACTTCTTCTCCTAGCTTCTACCGCCACCATAGCTCCTAGTTTGTACCGCCGCCATAGCGCGTAGTTTCTACCGCCGCCATAGCTCCTAGTTTCTACCGCCGCCGTAGCCCTATCTGATTTGCAGCGCAACAACCAGCGAACCGCAGTGACCGTGTCTTTTTGCTTAAGAAGGCCAGTTACTTAGTGTATTGAGGATATTTCTCACCTCATTTGACAATTTTCTTCATGAGCGTGTGCAGGTCGCCGCGTCAATCTGCCCTTGCTTATCACTTATGTCTGTGTGTTCTTTTTGAAGGCGTCACATCCTAATCATGCTTTACTCTGACTTGATATCTACTTTAACCTTTGCATCCTGTTCGTCATGTCTCCAGGAGGCGTGCACTACAAGATCTTTAATTTAAATGTCTATTTTCCAGTTTTTTCTTCTCACGGTAAGCATTTGATTGAGCGTGGCTGGTCGTTTTTACTCACGGCTTTTGATTGTGTTTACTTCAGACCAGATGCATGAGTCGTTAATTGGGCAGCAGGCATTGCTGTTTCCGCAGCTGTAACGATGCGTTTTGGGGCGAAATCATGCTTAGATCATGTGAAGGGGACTAGATCTTTGTTAAAGATTGGCAATCTTTATTATGCTGTTGATGTATTGTAATTCTATAAATTAATAAAACACTATTCCAAAATTCACAATGAATGTTTGGCAACCGTGATAATCTAACTTTTGGTGCATGCCAAAATGATTTTTATAGCTCATTGCCAACACATTAAATAGTTTTTATGGTGTTCTGAAGTCTACAAGGTTGCGACTGTCTGAAGTCATTCAAAACTTGTAAAGTCATCTGAAAAGCATCTACAAAGCATTCGACAAAGCATTCGGAAATCTGCCTATACTTTCTCAAAAAAGTGTTCGAAATCCTACGTTTATAAATCATTTGACAAAGCTCCAAAAAAACTATTTTCATCGGCTTTCTGGACGCAGGATTTTTGTGATGAGATTCGGTGCTCTCGGAATGAAGATGTTTTTTTTTTATAAAAATAAAATAAAAAATACACATGAAACTTCAATTGTTTACAGGTTTCTAGGCCATTAGTTCTGTGATATGGTGAGAAGTAAGCTGGTGCTTAGAGTTGCTGGTGCTAATAAGGGCTGTGAGAGAGAGGGTCGACTAAGTTTGAACTAGAAAATTAGCTCAAACTGAATTTCCCACGACCTAAAAATGTTGGTTGCCGGACATTTGCGGGCAGTGTTCGCCTGCAGCTGGAGACGAGCATGAACATGTTCGCCGCGAACAGAAAAGGCAAGAAAACAAAAACAAAAACAACAAAAACATGTTCGTTTCGCCACGATTCGCCCCCCTGCTCAAGCCTACTCATGTCCACCCGTCATTACATTATGGCTGAGTCACAAAAGAGGACTTCAAGATGTGAAAAAAATGCAAACGAAAATGAGCATGGGATGTGTGCTGTGCTATGTGGCTCACCTGTCAACCCAACTAAAGGAGGAATGGCATTCACAATACATGAGAGTGGGCAGACACAATGATGAATGCCACTCAAAATGAGGAGTGGCACTCACAAGCCTCGAAGGGCTGTGAGCTTGAAAAGGGAGTCAGGAATTGGACCCGATAAGTGGTTGTAGTGAAGGTTCCTGACGAGGCAGCCATGGTTTGAGATGGAGGGCGTGCATAAGGAGAAAGCAGTCCATGCGGTGAGAGTAGTACATTTGCAGTGAGAGGAGCAATGCATTCGGTGAGAGCAACAGTGCAGGCAGAGGATGGTAACATGTTGCCCATCTTATTTGGACGACACATGGACAGATAAACCGTGTCAGCAAGGAGGATATTTGCTTCGAAAACAGTTACGCTCTTACATGTAGGCAAATCGTTTGCAGAAAAACATTTTTACAACGATGCAGCAAAGAGTTTATGAGAGGAAAAACTAGTCAAGTGGCTATGTGTAAATCTATCAAACATTGTAAGAGGATCCTCAAAAGACTGAACACCGAAGCATTCCTCAACCAGCAGAAAAAAATGATCACATAAACAAATAAGAGACTCATGACTTGACAAGCAAGGGGAGAGGCAATCAATTGAGATACCTGGGAAACACACAAACCCGTGTATTTAAGCAGCTCACTCACATGTCTGTACATCAAGAAGGTTGCTCAGTCCTTGTAATATTGGACCAGTCAACTGGTTGCTATGCACTTGTTTCCACAAAAGTGATGCACAGATTTCCAACCGATTCTTCACTGCTCATCACCCTTTACCGCACTGAATCTACAATTCCCATCCCCCCCTCTCCCACTCTTTACAGATCTCTTGACATTAATCCCTTGCACATGGTCGACTGGTATGTGTCTACAAACTAGGATTTCTGGGCTGACGGTTAGTTAGGGTTTTCCCTAGTGTCAAATTCGGTTACCCTCTATTTGACCCGATTCCGGGTCGGGTCAAAGTCGGCCCGAGGCCTGACCCGACCCGACCCGGAATTCTACATCGGGTGGGTTTTTCGCCCGGGCCAGACCGACTCGTCCCCCCCGGGCCAGGACATTGAAAGTCCTGACCCGGCCCGGGCATTTTCCCGGGTCGGGTCGGGCGGGCCCGACCTGAACGGGCCATTTTATCATGCCTAAGCTTGTTGGCTCGGCAGTCTAGAACGTTCAGTCATGTGAATGAAGTGACCAGCCTGCTCATCTCGTCACAAACTGAAATGCTCCGGCTCAAGACCAGCCATGTCAGACTGAGGGCTCGCTTTGCCTTATAGGGAGCGAGCTTGTCTTAGCTCAACTTATCCACCTCGGAGGTGGATCACTCTGACTGCATGGTTGAGGGATATACATACACTCTGTCTGCTGGTTGCGTCATACAGCTATGTTTTGCTATTTCGTCACAGCTTACCTTTGTTATGTGAGTGAGATCATGACCAGAAAAAACAATTTACAGGATCCATGCAGATCATAACCACCCCCAAAAGCAACATCAAACTCACAACAGTTGAACAATCTGTATGTCTCGTAATGGTGAATAAATTGGAAATTAAAGAGGACAGAAGCAGTACAGAATGCATCGGACACAGCTGAAAAGCACAATCGAAGGGCATGCAGCTCAAGGCATGGCAGCGTGGAGAACGTGCTCGAGTATCCCAATGGTAGAAAAAAAAGCTATAATCAATATTGTAAGCGCCTACATCGGGAATGCGGGAGGCTCAAGAAGTAGGTTCGCGTTGGGCCGTGCACAGGTTCAAGTTTGACACTCGCATATCAGGCGTTCCCGGTTTGTTGGTCGCAAGACAAAACCGGTGCTGAAAATATGTTTCTGAGTAACCGCATAGCTCAAGGCATGAACACCTCCAACTTGAGGCAAGTTCAAGAGGACTGGCACTTACAAAGTACGCAGATTTGAAAGCTTCCCAATGGAGTTGGGAATCACTCCATTGAAGATGTTGTTCTGCAGGTCTCTGATGAGGGAATAACATGGATTTGACAGGAACACTGGATAGCATAGCTATGACTGAGGACGATCAAGAGGCACACAAACATGTTCGTGTTCGTCTAGGGTCGAACACGTCACTTGGGCGATCCGAAAATGTTCGGTTCGCCGCAAACGCTATCAGCAAAGGAGGTGTTCGGGTGTTCGCCTTTGGAGGCGAACATGTTGATGTTCCCGAGTACGAACATGTTCGTGTTCGCCTTTTGGTTGTAGTTCACGGCTGTCGCACTGCCACAAATAGTAAAATTTGCAGTGTGTTTGAGTGCCTGACTGCTGGTATGGCCAGGGGTGGTTGTGGAGCTCATTAAATATTGACGTAACATAAGATTACACTAACATGTTCGCCACAAACACATTCGAACACATAAATGTTCGTGTTCGACACAGCTCGGCCACCCACGACGGACCGAACACGAGCATGTTCGGCCAATCAAGAACAGAAACAAAAGACTGTTCGGTCGCCTTACATATGTCCATGATGAACTGAACAGGTATTCGCTCTTCCGCTCATGTCTAGTCTAGGTATGGCATGCGTGTGGATAGAGACGCGTGACAAGGGAAGGGGAGTATAGATGAATTCTCTCTGGAGTGGAACACCGTTGAGCAAGAGGTGAACACAAACACGTTCGTGTATGACCATGCCCGAACATGTAACTGGGCGAACCGAACATGTTTGGTTCGCTCCGAACACTTTCTGAAAAAGTGGTGTTCGCCTGGTCGCCTGGTCGCCTTTGAATTTCGCCCATAGCCTGCGCAGATCGGCGATTTTGCAAGCTGATCTGCATAGATCTGTACCCCCTCCCCGTCAAATTTGTTGGAACTAAGCATCCCAGCCGACAAACCTGCTCTCTGTGGTAGGGTCCACTCACATGGCTGTTATCATGCCCTTGGCATCGCACGTGACATTCTTTGCCTTGCTGCAGTCCCCACCAACCACCCAGCCATCGATCCTTGTGCTCCACGCCGCCTGACAGTCCAGTAGGACTTGCGCTGGCAGCAGGAAGAGGGAAGGGACATGAATAGGGAGGAAGGGCAGAACTTGAGGACGTATGCTTCAACCAATATTATCTTAACGCGTTCTATCTGGTGGCAAAAGGGCGAAGGAAGGAGGAAGGACGAGGCACTGAAATCATCTCGGTTGTGCATGTTTACAATCCGGATGATTCTTACAGAAGCCGCTTCTGATTCTTACAATCCGGTTAGGGCTGGGTGAGCACATTTGGAGATGGCCACTTCAGGCCCGGCGCTGTTATCGCTTGTAAGTTTTCGCTTTTCAGTGTCCCCATTTCCACAGTGAAATGGCCGTGGTACCTCTCACTTCCATTCACGATCGCAAACGCCCGGCCGTTCACGACCCCTAAACGCTACAGCATGCCCCTATTTACGACCGCTGGAGTCTTCATTTGTGATAGTGACGCCCTCTCCCAACTCTCCGCTCCAGTCTCTTCTCCCATGTTTACTAGCGCTGAGACGTACCCTGGGACTTGTCAAGAGGAACGCATTCAACTCGCGAAACGGCGCCGAGACACGTCAGCAGGAGCAGCGCGCCGAGGGCTGCGCGCTCCATCGCGGCGCGATCGTGTCACGGAAACGAGAACCACCAGGGAATGCGGAATCGCTCCGGGCGTCGCTTAAAGACTTTCGCGGCAGCGCGGACGTCTCCGATGAGAACCAACAGGGAATGAGTCGCTTTCAAAGGCGTAACGGCGAAAGGCGAAAGGCAAAAGGCGAAAGGCGAAAGGCTCCTCGACGACGCTACTATCTCAAGCTACATCACCAACTGACAACGAAATAGGGTTCCTAGTGTGACATCTCGGACAATGGTTCCGAACTTCCGAACCGAAGGCAGGTTAGCGACAAAATGCAAGTGGAAACGGCCGCCGGCAAAGTTATTATTAGTGCAGGCGCGTTGCCGGCGCCTTCCTCTCAGAAAAAACAGCCGAACGAGTCATGTGGCACATCAACGGCCGATTGAACGAGACAGACGCTTTTGTGTTTCCAGCCGCGTTAGGGCGTGTTACATTTATTTAAAGAGGTACAAATCCGGACATTCTTCCTAAAACAGTTCAAATACCGAATATCATACTTCCGAGTCCAACGACCGAACTGAGCCTCGTCCAGGCGTAGATAATGACACTTTTCCATACTGACGAAATTTAAGGTAATAATGAAATAGTAACCGTCATTACGATAAAGGTAACATTCAAGCGATTGGCCGGATTAGTTTCGTTCGCAATAAAATGCGTTATTATTACGCCCGACTGTATATCTTCACCAAATATGTGTGTGTGTCTGGAAATCTCTCTACCATAATTTTTTTTCGCATAAGTTCCGAAAACGTTTGAAAATCAATTAGGATTCGTCTACAAATCTTTCAAGATGCAGATGATTTGCGGATGTTTCCCTTATGGTTTACTGATGTTTATATGGATGATTTGTGTAATGTTGTTTAGTCGAACATTACATACTGTTGCATGGTTGTTTGTTTCTCAGACAGTTTATGTTATAGATCAGCGACATAGTTGCAATTTAAAATGCATTACCAGATGAACCTATCGAGCAGCTTCACATCAAGGTCTTTGTAGCAAGGGACAACATGCACGACGCTAAAAATGTAATCTGCATCTACAACTGCATAGTTGTAGAGACCATTAGTGGGTAACAGTCGCTTGCAGCATGTGTAGTGATAGACACGCCGATCCTCCGTGTAGTACGCTATGTATGCGGTCTTTTTTGCCACACCATCCTTTTTGTAATGGAACACCATCAAGCACCGGCCGTACCAGTTGGCCCCTTTGCCACCTAGATCTATGGCCACATCTGAAAAGTGCTTGTTAGAAGGGGTGCTTTCACAAATTGCCCGTTCTCGGTCCACTCCATCACGTCGTGCGGTGGAATTGCCATGGCTGTGTGGACCTGCGAGGAGGCAAGCATGGAACGCAGCACAACAACGAAGGGGTGGAGTGGGGGTTCAGGGTTGGGGTATTAAGGTGTCTCGTGCGTTGATACTTGGTTTAGGGTGCCTCTTAGCCAAACATGTTGCGTCAAACGCTGGATGCATTCCTTTCCCATTACATATGGTCTTAGGCTTTGGGGATGACATGGTTTAGGTTTGCATTACAACGAGCATTGTATTGAAACTCACATTCAGCACTTGGTCGCGGATTCCTACCATGGCCAGCCGCTTCTTCAAGCAGCCCATCGCTTCACCTCCGTGAACGAGGACATAGCTCATGAACACATCATCGTGGATGTTCCCCATGGTCGTCTTCTTGTGCGCCTTTTTCATAACCCGACACCCAAGCATGCAAGCCTGGGTAGGAGGCGTGGCGGCATGGTTTACATGGGGGGCCGTACAATAGGGCAGCACTTGACTACAATGTACGCAACAGGAGGGGGAGCATAAGATGACAAGTGGAAAGCGTGGGTGGGGGGGGGACGAGAGGTCAAGGAGAGCACAAGGGTTTGCTTGAGCATGGGTGTCAAGGGGAGTTGTGTTGGCCCCGTCCTCGATAAGGCAGAGCCGACTTTGTTGTCGGGTGTGCGGGGAGCGCAGCCGACCTACTGCAGTGGGCGACGCCGTCCTGAGCGCCTGGACGCCGACCTGGAAGTTTGGTCGGCGTCCTAGGCATCCAGACGCCGACCAGGGTGACTGGACGGTGACCAGGGCGTCTGGGCGGCATCCTGGGCGCCTAGACGGCATCCTGGGCTCCTGGACGCCGACCTGGGCGTCTGGACGGCGGACGCCGACCTGGGCGTTTGGATGGCGTCCTGGCCGCCTGGACGCCGACCTGGTTGCCCGGTCGACTCAGTTACCCGGGCGACGGGCACTGCGAGGTGCACGAGAGTCGCCCAGGAGGTTCTTGTGAAGCCGACCTAGGTGTGGTATCCCGAGGTCGACGTGGAGGATCAGGTGCACACGTGTGCACATGATCAGCCTGACGTTTGCGCTGTGAACGGGACGAGGCACAGCACGCCAACCAGCTGCAAGCACCTGCGAAGCAGGAGCGCTGGTGTCCTGCGGGTGCAATGCTGTGCACCCGCCTCGCTGTAGCGTTGTCACGCCGCCTAATGCAGCGTTGGCAAACCGCGACTTTCCAGTGCTGGAGCGCGGTCGACCATGCAGTGTTGAACGCGGTCGACCGTGCTGCGCTGGCAGTAGGCTCTCATGCTTGCTAGCATCTGATGTAGTCCATTGTTGCTTTGTATTGTGTACCATTTGTTATCAATCTTGGCAGAGATAACTACTACAACGGGAGCTAGACTACGGGCTAGGCACGTGTGCTCGTGTGATCACTGTGTTCGTTCCTTTGTCGTTCTCTAGCACTTGTGCATTCATGCAGCAAAACCGCAACAGTTTCACTAGCAAAAGTTGAGAACAATGATTCAGAATGGTGGCAACAACATTGGCATGCAAGACTATATCAGACCTAGCAAAGCTGCTGGTCGACATCCAGCATAGCACAGTCGACCGCGTGCCAGCACGACTTGGTCGACCGCACTCCAGCAGAGCGAAGTCGCGGCTTGCCAACGTTGCAAGTCCACGGTGTACCAACGCTGCAGCAAGTTGGCTGCAAAGCGTTGCACCTGTAGGACAACGAAGCACCTGCTTCGCAGGTGCGCGCAGCTGGTTGGTACGCCATTCCTCGTCACGAGCACAGCGTAGACGCCTGGAAGACTCCACGCCAACGACTGCGCCCACCAGCCACGTCGACCTCAGGATACCACTTCCGAGGTCGGCCTCGCAGCCCGGCGACGTTCGCACACGTCGCCCGAGTATCCCGGTCGACCGGGCAACCACGCCTGGTCGACCAGCACCTCCTTCTCGTGCCCGTCGACCACCCAGGTCGACGACCACCTCCAGTCGGTCACCGGCTGCACTAGCCCGGCGTCCTTAAGTTCGGCGCCCTCCGACCCGGCGCCCTGCTACTCGACGCCCGGCTGCTCGGCGTCCTGCTACTCGACACCCTCCAGCTCGACGTCTCCAGCCTCCCCTATCGAGGTCGACGTCGGCCCCTCCTTTGTCGACCACCAGGTCAGGTCGACCACCTGGTCGACCACCCTAAACTCGGCGCCCAGAAATCGGCGCCCGTGCAGTGAACCCCGTGCAAGTCGACCACCATCGTCGACCAGCTCGCCCACTGCTGCAGGTCGGCTGCACTTTCCCCGTACACCCGACCACGAGGTTGGCTCCGCCCAAGCAAGGACGGGGCCACACAACACTCCCGATGACACTCCCCTGCCGCGTTCACGCTCGGGCCCTCCAGCCCACACGACAACACTGCTCGGAGAAAAGCTCAGCAGCGTGCACGCGACACACAGCACGCCGATCACCACACCAGCCATGCAAGAGGGCAAGGCACCTACTGCTACACATCGTCGTCACCGTCGCCACGTCGGCCAGGCGCACTTGGCCGATGGCAACAGAGCACCGGTTGAAAGCCGGATAGTGCAGCGCCTTCGTCAGGAAGTCGGACGGCTGCTCAACGGTTGGGATGTACTTCAACGAAACTTCCCTGGCTTCACCATGTGCTGCAGCCAGGCCTTTCGCCGCTCCATGTGCTTGAGGTTGCCCTTCAACCCCATGCCCTCGGCGATGGTGATGGCCGACTTGTTGTCCACCCGTAGGACGGTCGGCTTCCTAGCATCCAGCTGCCGGAATTCTGCAAGGAGGAAGCGAAGGCAACGTCCCTCCTTGTCGGCTTTGGTTGCCGCCACGTACGCCGACTCGATCGACGACAATGTCGCGCACTTGATGCGCTGGCTCGACCAAGAGACCGCGGCTCCCCCGTAGACGAACACGTAGCCTCCTGTACTCGTCCGCTTCTGCTTGTCGCCAGCGTCGCCGGCGTCCACGTAGCCGACCAGCTCCAGCGACTCCGGCCGACCGCCGATCTCCAGGGCGGTGTCACGCGTGTTGGCGAGGTAGGAAAGGCAGCGGTCGACCTCGCGCCAGTGCTGGTCGCTCCTCACCGTGAGGCCGCTCCCAA